CATATTTTATATATTTGATATTGTACATATAAATAGTTTTCTCGATAAACTTGGTCAAAATTTGCAAAGTTTGACTTTTCAAAAAATCTACACACACTACATTATGGAACGGAGGGAGTATCTTCCAATCAGATCAGTCTTTTGGGATAGTTGGTTGATAGGAATACAACAACAACAACAACAACAACAACAACAACAAAGCCTTTAGTCCCAAACAAGTTGGGGTAGGCTAGAGGTGAAACCCATAAGATCTCGCAACCAACTCATGGCTCTGGCACATGGATAGCAAGCTTCCACGCACCCCTGTCCATAGCTAGCTCTTTGGTGATACTCCAATCCTTCAGGTCTCTCTTAACGGACTCCTCCCATGTCAAATTCGGTCTACCCCGCCCTCTCTTGACATTCTCCGCACGCTTTAGCAATTTTAACCTCACAAGCACCCGGATGATTTTCGGTGCCTTGACAGATCTGATAACCACAGCAGGACAGAAGAGGAGGTAGGCAACACCATTAACCGGATTTTTTATGCATGGGCTCAAGGAACTAGAGTAAAATCCCAGAACCATGTGTTAACTGGCAAACATACACATGCGCTTTTTTTGTTTGTCAAAATTTATAAAGGTATAAAGCAAGACAAAAGACCATCGATACTGCCAACGGGTGAGATTATAGTCCCGGCCAATCAACAGTATTTTGTAAAATCCATAAACTTAAACACTGGTCGAGGGCCTCGAGGCACTAAGAAATGCACCGAATAAGCTACTTGTTTACCTGCTCAACATCATATCCAGACTGACCTGCAAGAAATAAATATAGCATAAGGAACACTTTCAAAGATGTCCAACTGATTGGCCAAATGAAATACAATTGTTCCTAAACACACTCATATTCAAGCAAGCACAAAAATCTAATTTTACATTAAGTAGCTTCTTACAGAATTTAGAATAAACATGAATGAATTTTTATCCAGTTTTTGAAACAGCAAATTGCATTTAATAATTAGACGTGTTGCATAACATGTATTTTTCGCCAATTGAATGGAACCATGCAGCAGTTCTGCGTACAAACACCAGGTACTAGTGTGCAACTAAAACCATGGATTGGCTTCAACCGTACAGCACTACAAGAATTGTGCAATCTGTAGGCCAACCACCCACCCACATGTTCTTTGCACCAAAACAAGCAAAGTGAATCTATCACTTGAATGTGATATTGTGCAATTTGTAGTTGTGGAAGGTAGCTCATATCACAAAACAAAAACTGCAGGCAGCAATCTCCTTAACACTTAATATTTACGCAAGGAGAACAAGGGAGCATTGTGAAATGCCTTAACAGACATCCACTTCACTGATCGCATGAATCTTGCTTTGCTCCAGGCTTCTATAACCTTGCACATGATAAACTCAATAATCAATTCTTCGAATTGACTTTTCAGAGACTTTAGCCCAATATAAAATCAACACCGCCTTGCTAATTACAAACATCCACTCCGGAAGCACTACACATCAAAATCACACAGCATTTCAACGGTGGTAATTTGTGATCCTAACAGTAACACTCTTTTATTTACAACTAGTTGGTTTAAGAGAATGCAATGCCGATAATATTAATAGATCAGATGGCAGCGTTGAAATAGCACCCCAAAGTTACTTCGATATCTGCAGGTACAGATAGGAAACTGGACTAGCGAGGAAATAGCACCCAGAATTACTCTGACATCTGCGGCTGCAAGAAGGAAACTAGGACTAAAAACATACGAGGACAATCAAACAAGAGGTCACTCTTTTTAATAGATTGGCTTATGCATGCCTCATGTGTTCTCTTCCACATTTTGGCACATCAAATTTCTAAGAGAAGAAGTCAAAGTGCCAAAACATGCCCCCGCTCACTAAATGGTGTGTTCTGACTGAGGACAGTGCTTCAAACCTTCAGGCCCTGGTTGGATGACATTTAATTCGTTGGAAAGGTTTAGTATATAGTTCAAAAAATTAAAGCTTTCCAAAGAAATGCCGTGGAACTCCCTAAATACCAACGCTTCCCAAAAATAACCTTTTATCCAAACACGCATTTATCCTATATAGCAAATTTGCAATTAGGCTTGGTTATGACTTCTGGCAGCAGAAACAAACGATCCCAGGTAAAGCACTTGGATATGAAAAGTAGAGCAGCTGGTGCTAGACGACTCACCCAGCACGTCTTTGACCACACCCATGCTGAGCTCAGAATGATCTCCAAGCATGGAGCACAGGAACTGCTCGGCCTCCTCAACATTAAGCGTGGGATAGCCACCCCCGCTTTCTCTCTCCCCATTTCTCTCATCATTCCAGCCATTGCTGACGCTTTCTCCATCCATGTCCTTCCCCTTCCCCTTCCACCCACTTCTATCGGTCGCGCTCACAGGCGGAGTGGCAGGCCGCGAGTAGCCCTTGCCGATCACGTCCGCAACGATGCCAGACACGGCAACGGGAAGCTTCCTGGGCCTGCGAGCCGGCCTCCTCCCAGCAGATCCGGCGCGCGGGGAGAGATCTGGCGGTGGCGGCGGCGGCGGCTGCATGTCCTGCGTGGAGCCGAGGATGCCGGCCGCGAGGAAGGGGTCGCCGCCGGCCTCGCGGTAGGCCGAGTCGACCTGGTCGATGGTGGCGCTGCCGAAGGCCTCGAGCAGCCAGGCGAGGTCGCGCCGCTCGTCGCCCGTGGCCGAGGAGGACGCGGCGGAGTCGGTCGAGGAGGGGGCGTAGAACGAGGAGGTGGACGCGGGCCCCGACGAGCTGGAGGTGAAGGCGCGGGTGTACGCGGAGGCGTCCCCGCCGCTCCCGCTGCCGCTGCCGCTCGACTCCGTCTCCGAGGCCGCGGCGGCTAGGGTTAGGGTTTCGGCGAGCGGCGAGCGCGGGGAGGACCCCGGCGCCGGAGGGGTCGGCGGCGCCGCCCCGTCGGCGGCCGCCGGCGAGGGCCGCTTCTTCTTCTTGGATTTCTTCTTGGTGTTGGGTTTCATTTCGGGCGGTGGCCGCCTTTTCCCCTCCCCTATTTTCCTCCTCCTCCGGGGTGTTTTTTCGAGGGGGTTTTGACTTTTTCCTGATCGTTTTCGCCTGGCAGAGAGGGAGAGAGCGAGGGCAGGAGGAGGAAGAAGGCGGGGCGGGGAGCCGGCGAGTCGAGTCACGCGGTGGACGGAGGCGCGGCGGAATATACTACGCCCATTTGCATGTGGGGCACGTCACCCGTGGGTCCCGCATGTCATGCTCTAGGCGCGGCGGCGGGTGGGGAGGGGAGGGGAGGGGGTGGATGGAAGAGGGTTGCGGCGACGGCCGATACTTATTTTGGACTGCTGGTTTACCCCGTTAGACTGGTGGATGGGGTCGGCCGAGGGGTCGTGGTCGTGCCCCGCCACGCACACCTTCGCTTGAGTGAACCGGATAGGTACGGGGCGGTTGGCCGCGGGTATCAAGCGGGCCGGGCGGGGAATTTTTTTTTATTTATTTAAACCGAGATTGCGAGCGAGGGGGAAGGGAAAGACATTAAAATTTGAGGTGGTTTTTCTAAAAAAAAATTTGAGGTGGTACGATCGGTCAGTATATATCGATTAAAATCTTATTATAACAGAGAATCGTTGCGCATATTATGCCAATTTGTGCCTCGGAATGTTTTCTTGGTGATAATATGTGTCTCATTTATATTATATAAGGATAATAGTACAAATAACGTACACACCATCTGACAAAACTGAAAAGACAACAAAACACTAGCCTTTGCACAAAGAAATACCGGTTAAGAAAGAAAAATACAATCAAGATCGAAGAATCCTTTGAATTTGACATCAACATCCGTCACTTGCCTCTGGTGCCATCATAGCAGCCATCAAGATAAAAAATGACGGATCACCTCCTCATCCGAACTCGACGCGGCTCTATCACTGATATGCAGCTTTGTGAACCTCTAATGTGGCTCCCAAAGGTGAAACTATTATCTTCGAACGAATCAGACCAGATCAATACTCCGGACACGCCATTGAACTCCAGAGTTGACACCCCCGCACGACTAACACGATGGAGGAGGAAAACATATGTGTCATCCATGAGCCACGAACCCTGCACACTATCCATCATCTTTCAGATGTCGTCGATGCAGACCACAATTTGCATCTGCTCCTGGGCTACCTCCCAAGCTCCGCCCAGACGCTGGAGCAAACGTCGTCACAACAGCGGAGCCCGAGGACACAAGTCCACCACGAGGATGTCATCGCCGCCACGCAATCCTTACTTGAACAGACTGATTTACAAATACATCCCTAATCATAGGACTGATGGTCTTGTCAGGAAAGAATCCGAAGAATCTTTATTTCACGCCTCCACCACCACCGCCGAAACCAAGACGATAAACAACCAAAAAAACCTAGAGTGTGAGGGACTAACAATCCACACGCGTGGATCCGATGACCCCCCTCACCATCGCGACCGAGGTCGTCGGCGGAAGACGGCGCTGGAAGATTGGCCTCTCCTGGAAGCGGACTGGCAATGGCTAGGGTTCCAGCCAGGGGACGAGAGGAAAAAGGGTTTCCCGTTTTCCAGTGAATTTTTAGGGGATTTTTCATCCGGTGGTGTGCACCCTCTCTATGCTAATTTGCCGAAAGTTTACTAATATCTTTACCCAAAAAGTACCGATCACAGATACAACGTGTATTTTACCAGTGTACAAAGTTTTTTTTTCAGGTTACCACTCTACAAAGTTGAGGCCTAAAAACCAGCTCACGTCTTTACAAAAAAAATAGACAAATATGGCACTTTGTAGTGATTATGGGCCAAATTAATACAATATGACATGTGGATCCATGGCATGTGATTTCAGGCTCCACGTGATGACGCGTTTTCATAAGATCCATAGCATGTGCTAAACCTTGGGCTATGCGTGACGACGCGTTTTCACTTGGAAAATGAGAGATGTTTTTATTGTAACTACTAGTGGCGTTTTTGTCTGGAACAACTGAGCTTGACCCAAACGGGGTAGAATCTCTATGAGGGGGGAGCCAGTAACTTGTTGAAAATATGAGCAATTTATCGAATAATTTTATTAACAGAAATACTAAATAAAGCATGACTAGTATAGCAGAGATAAAATAAATCATGCAATCTGACAGAGAGAAGGTGAATAGTATCTGCAATCTGGCAGTAGAGCATGTTGCATATATAAAATAGAACCTAACATATTTAGGACAGATGCTAGAACAAGGAATTGTGGCAGGACCTCTAACAGAAAGAGGAAGAACACGTACGGACAGCAGCAGCAGCAGAAGTGTCGGGGGTGTCGTGCGACATATGCCAACGGATGACTTATCATGGAGGGGGCTAATAATACGTCGCCGGTGCCAGGAAATGGGATAAGGCGCAAACATGTCCGCCGACGAATCTTACCCAGATTCGGGGCTCTCCTAGGAGATAACACCCCTACTCCTGCTCTGCGGGATCTCCGCATGATCACTCAAGCAACAATGGTGGCTACAAGTTTGCTCCTTGAGTTGTTTCTTTAGAGGGGGAAGAAGAACAAGGCCAGCCCTAGCTTACTCCCTCTATATGTGTGTGCGGCGCTAAGGTTTCCAATGAGGCTGAACCCTTTGCATGGGTGGCCTGAAGGGTTTATATAGGCCTACCCCTAGGGGTACAATGGTAATTCGACCGGATGTAGGACCCGGCTGTTAGCGTCTGTAGGTGTCGGCTTCACCGCTGAGCGCTGGGGCCCACCGCCTGGTGGGTCTCGCCGACTGCCTCGTACTTAGCCAACAGGCCACGCCCGTCGCTCGTGGGTCTCGCCAGCTGCTCATTACTGTGGCAATGCTATTGATGATGTGTGCTTTGTCGGGGGGAGTGTGGCTACAGTACTCGTCGCCTGGCGGGCGCTCACTGTAGCCACTCCCTGTCTCTTCTGATTAATGGCGCACAAACTCTGAGGGGAGGGGGAAGGTCGACTGCTGGGAGTCGGCCTCCCATCTGCCGGCTGGCGGATCCCGTTGCCTTCTGGCTTCTCACTAACAGGTAAGGCCCGCCGCCTGGGGCCGTACCGACAACTCGTAGTGGGAGCATGGCCTTCTCTGCCATGGGTGATGTCATGGGCTGCATGGCAAAAGTTTTGCGCCGGGCGAGGGATGTCCGCCCAGTACACCGCACTGTAGCCACGCTCTGCCCTGGATTCGGGGTGGCAGGCGTCGCTGTAGCCACGCCCCATCTCGTCGTCATAATGTGGTGCAAACTTTAAGGGCGATTGGGGCCGCTTGCTAGGAGCCGGCCTTTCTAGAGGCCGCCTGCTAGGAGCCGGCTTCTCTGGAGGCCGTCTGCTAGGAGCCGGCCCACCGTGGGGTCGTCTTCTGAGCTTTGCCGTCTTCTGGCGGCCGGCCGCTTGGACCAGCCGACCGCAAAGAAATCGGCGCTTGGACCTTTGATTCTTGAGGGGCGCAGCTGGCCCCGATGTCTTGAAACACCATGGGAGGCTGATGAGGCTACCCGTGGCCATTTACTCTGACAGTAGTCCCCGAAACTGGTGGGGCACCGCGGCTGAAAAAAGGTGAGGGGCCCCGGCAACTTCCTACTCCGAGTGGTCCACTAATCTTGCTTCGTTCGTCTTCCGATGCGCCGTCTATCAGGAATCGGACACGGCCAGGCGGGCCGCCTGGTGGTTTTCGAAACGTCATGGCGGGAGTTGGGTGGCGTGCCAGCCGGGCGCCAGGCTCGCCGACAGCCATCCGGGCGCCACGTGGCATCAGCCGGCCGGGCAGCCTGCCAGCCCACGCGCGCGATGAGACACTACAGCAGGCCGGGGCCCACCACTACCGAGCCTCGACACACGCGCGGATCCATTGCGGCCGAGGCAAACGATTGGGATTCCGCAGCGCAGTAACTTTTTGTGTCGTTACTGCGTGTTTAACGTGGGGTCGTGGAGACGTGGGCACAATTAATCCCACGATCCCCACGTCCCGTCCCCTCGGCTTCGCAGCCAGGGGCTATAAGTAGGGGGAGGAGGGGAACGGCACTAGCATGCGCGCCCTCCTCTCCCCTCGCCATCTTCTTCCTCCTCTTCCTTTCTGCCGCCGCCGTACTCCCGCAACTTGCCGAAGTGCTGCTGCGGCCCGTCATCGCCAACCCCAGCCTCTCCGTCGCGCCGACGCCTCGTCGGACCTGAGCCTCCATGGCGCGAGAGCGAGCTGGCTACTGGGATGGCTCAAATGTCATCGAAGACCACATCGCCTTCCTCCGCAACACACGGCGGCTGCCCGGCGAAGGCCACGTCCGGGCGCGCGTTCCGCCCGCAAAGGAGATTTCACCGGCGCTGGAGGAAGGCGAGCGCGTCGTCTTTCGGTCGCACTTCCTCCGGGGCTTCGGCCTGCCGGCGAGTGGCTTCCTTCGCTCCTTCCTCCAGTTTTACCACCTCCAGCCGCACCACCTCGTGCCAAACACTGTGGTGCTGCTGTCGGCCTTCGTCACGCTCTACGAAGGCTACCTTGCATTCTTCCCACCCTCGATCTCTGGGGAGAATGCTTCTACACCAAGCTCAGCGTCTCCGCCGCGAAGAGGCGGCTCAGTGCGGCGCTTTCATCGCGGTGCGTCGCCCGGGTGCCGGGAACCGCTTCCCGTCCATCACCCTGACCCAATCGGTCAAGTTGTGGCAAAAATCATATTTCTACGTCAAGAACGTCGACCCGGCGATCGACTTCATCAACCTGCCGGCCTACGAAGCCGGCCCGCCGGCTGAACCCCGCACCAACTGGGCTTTCAAGCCGAAGGCGCTGTCGGCCGCCTCCGCAGCCGCCATCGCCCGGCTCCAGGAGATGACGGACTCGGAGGGCCTCCAAGCCTCCGACCTGCTGACCGCCTTCATGGAGCGCCGAGTTCTCCCTCTTCAAAGTCGGCCTCATCTGATCAGCCGGATGAGCGGGCACCGGGACCCGTGCCGAATGTCCACCAGGGAGATGCCAGCCATGGAGGTGGCCTGCCTGGTGAACGAGATCGCAAA